TTCCGTTATGAGATTGTGCTTATATAACCCCTTTCAGGATTGGGTTTTCCTCTTTATAAGATGTAATTTTTCGCACTGCAAGCCAAAAACTGCAAAGTATGATACTTAAGCAATATCTTAAATGCTGTATTAAGAGAAACAAATATTGAAATCATCCCTGATAATGTAATCACAAAATAGGGGTATATACCAATGTCAAAAAAATGGTATATTTTCCCTCTGAAGGTGCCCTTTTTTCAAGAAAGTTTTTTTGTTGGTGCCCCCCCCCCCCCCCCCCCCCACTTTGGAAGTTGCTCCGCCGCCTCTGCGTATAAGTAAACATAATTGTCGACTACCCTAGGGGTCTTCTCTTATACAACGTCCAACAAAAAATAGATTTATCAAATGAACTGCACACTTTGGAGAAGAAAAAATCTTTAATATAGGCCCTAGGTCTAGATCTAGAAAAGTTATGACAACTTGACAAGCACACTGGACACACACAACATCTGAACATTAAATAAATGAATCCTAGGTCTAGTTTGTTTGTTTTTGAATATTTTTATTAATAAGTTCCAGGTTTACGTCTAAATGAAATGTGGTTTGAAGCCGTTTGATTATCCATGGTCACAAACAATTTTGGTCTAAAAGTTGACACGCACCAATGATGCAACTGAGCGAACGGATAGCACTTAGTCTTAGTAATACTAGTATAGCCAACAGAGTCGACATCTACTAAAGATATAAACAAGAATTAACCCTCTTGGATTATTAAAGAAATCATACTTCATAGATTATTTTAAGGTGTAACGTTAAATCTAGATTTAAATTCAATGGATGATTGGTGAATTAGATTCACGATGACGATCAAATTTGGAATAAAACCTGATCAGAAAGTTTTATCTTGATGCAGATGAGCACCGAAATTCCCCAACGTGGGCCTGCCGGAACCCCGGGGCTCTAAAGGGTGACATGAAGGCAAACCGCAGTCAAACTACTTCACGACGATGAAAATCAAAGTGCAATTTCAAGAGAAATATTTTCCTAGCCTTTTCCCCACAAATCTGTTGAGAACAGTCTCAAAATGTAAAGAAATTACAGTAGATCACGAATTACAGCTTTTTCAAATTAATGACTAAATTCTCTTAATCTACTGATATTTCAATCAATTACTCACCCATATGCATTCTCCGTGAACTAAATCTTCTCACTTCGTGCGAGTATAGCGCGCGTCGTGCATTCCCACCTCGATATGAATATTTAAGAGAATCGAGACTTTCCCCGACCCTGCCTAATGAATATTCATGATAAAACAGGAATCCGGCCTCGCCGTGGTACGAAAAAATAAGACGCTACCCGGACACCGCGCATTAGAACGGCGCAATACGCGTCGGGGAAACATCGCGCGCAGTTGCAAACAGACACCCGGTGACGCAGCTGTTATTTTTCTTCGCATAAATCCTGATTTTGCATGGAAATTCTAATGCTGATTATTTGGAAATTACGTTTTTTGGCAACATATTCTGAAAAAACGCACAAAATTAAGTGTCCGGTTACTCAATTATGTTTTTTGGCAACATATTCTGAAAAAACGCACAAAATTAAGTGTCCGGTTACTCAAGTCCCCACCCTACCTATTACCGTCCAAAATTTCCTTGAGGTGTTGTTAGGTCAGTCCCCTCATACAAAGGACAGACATCATTACCAGCATATTTTCATGCGCGTGAATTCACGTCAACCGGGCAGGATATGAACTATTGCTTGTCAGGCGGATTCCTGACTAGGAGCTCTCCATGTTTGTGCTCACCGAGATCTTAACACGATATTAATGAACATTTACATCACATATACAACCATTTTTTACTTACGATGTCAGTGTTTTCAAGCAATTTCTGTCCATAACGGGCATCGCTTGAACACTTCTTCTTCGTAGGGAACTGCTGAAACTGAATGCGCATGCACGATACTGTAATAGACATGTATACTCTTGAACTTGGCGTATTTATGCATACATTCTATATTAATAATTTACCAGTGTCTTTCAAAGACTACTTCAAAAGGCGCTCTGATACTTACCATTACTAAACAACACAAATTAATGATCTTTCTCATACACTCAATAAGAAAGCTTTCTCTGATCATGGTATACAAGCAGCCGGCCTAATCCTTTCGAATTCACTCCCTAAACTAATCAAAGAATAAAAAATACAAAACACTTTCGAAACCTACTTAAACGTTAGCTGATTAGTAATTATGAGTAATTTCTTTAGAGCATGTCCACATTTGTCTTTTTGTCAGAGTCTTTTTTACGCGTTCAACTTTTGTTAATTGTTTCTTTTTTCTGTGTATATCATGCATTGTATACATATTTTTGTAAAGGTGTGGGCTACTTTCGGGCCTTACTGGCTCTCCGGCTCATTCCTCCATTTGTCAGTCTTTGTATTTTACTGTTATTTTGAGGTGTTTAGGTCTATATTTTATCATTGTAAATTTTGTTGGAAACAAGGAAAATCAGCCATTTTGACAAAAAAATTGGATGAAAAGTTGCGAGTGCAGTGAGTGAGCGAGAAGCTGAGAACAAATAATTTCCATGTTTTTTAATCGAAAAATTTAATGTCAAAAACACAATAAAAAATGCTGACTGACCGACCCTCCCTGGAAGGTTTGACCGCCATTTTTGTTGTCACCTAATAGGTATAATTTTGTGAAAAATGGATGTGTATTAACAAATATTAGGGCGTGTGAAATCACTTTCACCTTTGGGGCTATTATACATGTAAGACTATGTATTTCACCATAAATTTACCTCTGCACCTCTGACAAATTTGTTGTAGGCCAGAGCATATGAAAAAATATGTTACAAACAACACACTCACTTGGCATGCTTTGTTGTCATTGGTTGCAAAATCTTGCATTTTCCTTTAAAAGGTCATTTTACCAATTAAAAATTATTTAAGGTTCTCATAATTTTGTAGACTTTAAAAGAAAAAAATCCAACTACCCATAACACACATTGTGTAATACCAACATCTCAAAAGTTACTGCTGGCTACTTGAGTGCACATAGCAATCAGTGATTCTTAGTATAAATTGCTCTCATCATGACTACCATGCACTGGTACACTCATAGTCATCTTCCCTATCCTTTCCACTTTCAGCAATATGTCGCTATAGTTTCTCAGAGTATGTGACAAGGACCATGCCGACTGTCTTTTTTGTGTGTGGAATACATTGTAAATCTGCCACCTTGTACTGACACTTTACAATTAAATATAAACTTTTGGTAAATGTTTTCCATGGAAGATCATTTGTTATGTTCATGTGATAGTCTTCAACCGCATGCGTCTTCAACCGCATGCGTCAACGCTACCCAAATCTAATTTGGGAGGACTTCGGACAATTTCACCCATGAACAACTCCAGCCAATGTGACTACAGACACTATCCCAACATTCACTTCCAACATCAAAATCAGTAGGTGAGAGGATGTATTCCCCGTATGGGTAATGCATCCTCTCACCACCAGAATCCTTCATCAACAACAGTCATCCTCCAAGCACAGGAACATTACACAAAATTATGTGCAACATCAAAACAGTTCAAGACATGTACCAGTAGGCCTACATTAAAATCCCTTCAGCATGCCTTCAACAAACACTGCATGTAGCCAAAGTAATTGTACCTGTTGATTTTGCTAACACCTTAATCTTTTAATTATTGTCCAACACTAGCATTAACCTGTAACTCATACCCCCAAATCTTCGGTTGTTCATCATTTTCCTCATGAACAGGTGGATGGTAGTCCAAAGCAAAAGTCACATCTTGGTCGTCTCGTTATAAAGAAGTCCTTGGGACCCATGAAATTGTTTCTTTATAACGAAATTTCTTTATATCAGGGCTGCCAAAACAATAGAATACAAAGGAAATCCAAGATATGGGACCAGAGATTTTACTTCTTTAAAATGAAATTTTGTTATATCAGTGTTCTTTATAACGAGAGTGCACTGTAAGTGAATGAGGGAACAACTTCTTGAGGGGAGTGTACCTGTAAGGGCATTCCAATACTGCCACGACACTTCCCCCTATACTCCTCTCGAGAGGTTGTTCCCTTGTTCCAATACTTGCTTCACTTGAGAGTGATGACATAAATCATATGTGAATGAGGGAATCGCCATTGTGAAGGGAGTGTACTTCCTCCTGGCCCATACATGTACTCCTCCACCAATGCTTCACGTTTGGACCATCATTGATAAAAAAAAAATAGTCTTAATCATCTTAAATCATCTTAAATACTGTATATACTTTGGAGGTCAACAGACTTTTCCTAAATATAAACGTTACACTTATGTCAGACCACTCAACACACGGTCCATGGTGTCATTGTCTTTTATTGGTCACTGCCACGGGCGGGGAGGGATATCTTATCCACATTCTTAACATCCTGCATATCCTTCACCTCTAGAACACCATGTACAGTGCACTCTCATTATAAAGAAGTCCTCGGGACCCATGAAATTTCTTTATAATCAAATTTCTTTATACATGTATCAGGGTTGCAAAAACAATAGAATACAAAGGGAATCCCACATATGGGACCAGAGATTTTACTTCTTTATAATGAAATTTTGTTATATCGGTGTTCTTTATAACGAGAGTGCACTGTAAACGTTTCTCCACCACATTATCGCACATCAAATAAGCACAATTCCAACACGTAAAAAAAAACCCGAAGCGCCCTACGAAGTTATTTAGAATTTTCATTATTGTTGGGATATCCATGCATAATAGGATTTGCACATGTCTATACCCATCATGCTTCCACCCCCCCCCCCCGGATGCACCGCAACATGTATAAATCTACAGGTAGCCCCTTTCATCTGGCCAGACGCAACACATGGCATCTATCTCTAGTTCCGAAAAACTCTGGATGTATTAAAGGTGCTTTTTAACTAGTGAGATTTACATAGCCCAGAACCAAAAGGGATGATAGCAGTTGTCCTTCATAGAATACATTCAGACTTACGTTGAGCCGGTTTCCATCCATGTCTGGTACTCAGCACTGGCCCACTCTAATGTATCTGGATCACCTAGATCTCTGAATGTTGATAACAGGCTCTTCCGTGTCAACCTATGGAGGAGATTTTATTTTATTTATTTATTTTATTCTATTTATTTATTTACCACTTGTGGGATGAAACACCATCATCAGCACAAGTGCTGTGTTTCATATGAATTTCAAAATTAATCGAGTGGTTCTTGAGATATCATGTTAAGGAGAAAGCGGGACGGACGGACGGACAACCCCGAAAACCCAATGCCTCCAGCACCATAAAAAGGGCAGAGAAATTGCACGGTTTGGATTCGTTTTGGCGGTATGACTAAGGTGTTAGAATGAAGCAGAGTTTCCATTTATGTTACACCTTTTCATGTTTCAAATTAAAAGTTTACATACAAGTACACTGTATGTATAACAAAACTAACACAAAATTATTAAATTGGCATTCAGAAGAAACAAGTAAAATAAAAGAAAAGACATGAATAAACCTGAAAACAAGATTATTCCTGTGCTGTATCTATTCATCATGACCTCTGCTAATTGTAGAAGTGCTAATAAAATTGTATTCAGATATTGATGCTACGATTCACATTTCAAAAAATATTTTTGTGATACTTAGTAAAATTAATATTCTATTTTCTACTCATTGCTTTCGATAAGTATAAGGAGATATGCTTCCTAAAAAAAATAGCTTATCAATAACAACCAAATAAAATTACATAAGAATAAAGCATTATGGCAGTTTATGAACGAACAATCCTTGTCCCTGCAGAAATTCTCCTTAAATGAAGGACACCTTTCAAATGAACTTTTGAACTTTAGCCTATATCTAAGACCATAACAGGCCTTTTTCTGCACGCTCACAGATTCATTGTAAATTACATTCCTTTTTGTTTACAAATCTAGCAAGAAATCAACTCCTCAGGTATTTCTTGTAGATTTCTCCCCTCCTGTAATTTACAAGCTTGCTATTGTTACACAGCTGTTTGTGTGAATTTCACACTCAAGTTATGTCCTGTGTAATATACAAACTGTCAATCAATGACACCTGGGCCCTGGTTAGTGAAATTTCACAGCCAATCAAATGCAGCAGCTTCAGTAGCTTTTAACAATAAGACAGTAGCTTGTAACAAGATTTGTTACTGATATCATGCAGTAAAGGAACTTCCGTCCAAGATTCTGAAAGATCTATCAATATCATTAAATAATCTGTTTTACAGTATATTAAAGATTATAAAACTCACTCCTAGATCATATTGCTCCGATTGTCTCATTTTCGCTCGCGTGAACATTGCCAGCACAAACCACTGACCTCTGCCTCCTGAACGGATCATCGCCCATTCCATTCACTATACGTTACGTACTATAAAGGCTGTATTGTCTGACCGTTCATGAATATTCATGTTTTTGCTAAACTCGGCAAAATGTTTGCTTTTACTAAATCGAAAAATTACGGTGGGGGGTTGGATGAAATGGACATAATGAAATAGGCAGAAGTGATCTATGATAATTCATGCTTTTTATGTTTCGTGTGCTCGACCTATAATCTTCAAATCGCTTGGTAAACTGAGTCCAAAGTTAGACTTGTTTCACACGTGTATTATAGGCAATGACGAGCTTGCAACCTATTTTGAAAAATTACGGTGGGTGAACTTTTAAAAGTCAATGAGACATGAGGGCTCCAATGAAAGAGCTAGTGATAACGTACGTCGGGGTGGATGTGCTTTTCGTTTAAACAAAAAATGAATTTTTAACGATTTTTTTAAAAAACGTCCATAGGCTAACATGTTAGGCCGCCGACTCAGATCATGCTCTGACGATAGGGGGCGTTGTGAAATGAGACTAACCGGAGCCATATGCCTAATCAAATGATTGGTCATGCGCGGTCACGTGTGATTCATTTAATGAGACTATTGCACGTTATTTCAAGAAAAAGCGTGCAATAGTTTCCAGTACTATTCCACGCTTTTTTTTAAAGTGCCAGTACACGATGCGCAGTAGTGCACATAGAGGTTAGGGCGCTTATACTGCGTGTGGGCCTATTCTTGCGCAGCAATATACATAAATGCATATAGAGGTAAGTGCGCGCTAAATTGAGCCTTATCAAACTTGAGATTTATTTGTCAGCTATACGGTCACGAAACATCTTGAAGGAATTCTTTTTACATCAAATAACAAGGATCTAGGAGTTTTGTTGTATAAAACAAATGCGTGTTTTCATTAGTTCATTATACAATCTATCCGCCCTCGTTAATGCTGTGTGTATCTATCGCACTCAGCCTACCGGCTTCGTGCAATAGATACACACGGTCTCAACTCGAGTGTGGATAAATCGTATAATGAACTTATGCGCATGCATCATTTGTATAATAACATCAATGTCGTGCTCTTTCTCTCAAACATAAGACCATATATAAGAACACAATCTTACCTGTCAAGATGTTCTCCTGTATCTTCTTTCCCAAGAGAGGAAACACGCTCACGAAATAGTTTGAACACGTAATCCTGAAGCATAATGGAAGGTAAAACATAATACATGTACCTGAGTCCCACCATAGTAGAGCATACATACTTGATTCCATAACTTTGCATTTTGCAAATTTCTCTGACATCTACACTGTACAGTGCGTCCCATAAAAAACGAAAACGAGAATGTCAATGCTTTATCATAACTTAATCACGATTGTAATTAATAAATGACACATATTTGTAATTAAAGCTTAGATCCTCCTTTTTCATTTGATGCAACTCACATGAGTGATTAAAATCAATTTGAAGAAAGGGGCCCAACAAGTCATTTGGCGATGGTATCTAAATTTAAAAGAGAAAATTAAATTTCTAGAAAGTTCCATTTCTGCTCTTTCATATGACACCTCAATCTGGAAAAATGAGCTAGGAATAACAAAGTTCTGTTTAAACTAATGCTTGCATTTCCATAACTTTATTAAACAGATTCGGTTTCCCTGGCTGCCTGCCTGCCGTAGCAACAAACATAATTGACAAAAGACTTAACTCCGTTTCATTGAAGATCAGCCATAGACGAAGGGCTTCATGCATGGCCGATTGTCAACAAAATGGAGATAAGTCTCAGAGAGAGATACGCAGAGAAAAAATGAGAGTTAGAGAGAAAAACAAATAAAAAGGGAAGAACAAGAAATTTGGAACGCAAGTAGAAATGTAAGAATAATTGCATGATTTGAAACAAAGACAAATTGCATACATTACCTTGTAGTAGTAGTATCCCGTTGTTCCATAGAGCAAACTTCCTATAGAAGACAGTGAATCAAGACCCGTTTCTATGGGAACATACTCCGTCTCATTAATGAGGTATTTTGACAGGTCAAGAGCGATGCTGTAGTTCACGTGCCCAGCCCTGAAGCAAAAATGAAAGGAAAACATGTATTGAATATAATACAGATTTGGTACTTCTGAACACCAAATGAAATCTGTGAATTGTTTGTAAGCCTAAGAATAATATTTTAGTAAAATATCTTCTGCACGGTCTTCTATGTAATAACCTGGCTGAATGAATAGAAGTGTATTTCAATTAAAAATACAATGAAATGCAGATGCCACTTTCTCATCATGGAAGGATGTCTAAAGAAAGTAAACTTTGTAAAAATTGTTCTCTGTTCTACATAATCAAATGGACGCTTGTTCAATTTTGATACAGGTTTGCCTTGTTTCATTGGACAATCTGCTGTTGGATTCATGCTCTTATGACACACCGGGGTCTATTCGCTATTCATAAGGTCCGCTATTTATTAGGTCCGCTATTCATAAGGACCGTTATTCATAACGTGTAAATTCCCGTACTTCCTGGTCCGCTATTCATAATGGCAAAAGAGGGTCACTATTCATAAAGAAATAAGGTTCGTTAATCATAAGGACCGCTATTCATACCGTGAGATGAGAGTCGCTATTCATAGTGCATATTAAGGGTCATTAATCATAAGGACCGCTATTCATAATACGACGAGAGGGTTGCTATTCATAATACGAAATGAGGTTCATTACTTATAAGAGTCGCTATTCATAACACGGGAAGAGGGTCGCTATTCATAATACGAAATGAGGGTCGCTATTCATAATAGGAGAAGAGGGTCGCTATTCATAATAGGAGAAGATGGTCACTATTCATAGTACGAAATGAGGTTCGCTATTCATAATAGGAGAAGAGGGTCGCTATTCATAATACGAAATGAGGTTCGCTATTCATAATAGGAGAAGAGGGTCGCTATTCATAAGGTGGCAGGTAAAAATGTCAGAGGTAAAAATGTCAGAGGTAAAAATGTCAGATGAAAAAATGTCAGAGGTAAAAATGTCAGAGGTAAAAATGTCAGAGGTAAAAATGTCAGAGGAAAAAATGTCAGAGGTAAAAATGTCAGAGGAAAAAATGTCAGAGGAAAAAATGTCAGAGGAAAAAATGTCAGAGGAAAAAATGTCAGAGGAAACAATGTCAGAGGAAACAATGTCAGAGGTAAAAATGTCAGAGATACCAAAAAAATGTCAGGTACAAAAACTGATGTTCATGTTCTGAGGATAATACAATGTGGAAAATAAATTTGAAACTTATATTTTGTGATCAGGTTTGCATATATTAATTTCTATCATTTTTCGATATTTTAAATTGGTTGATGTTTAATGCTTATTTGGTTTTGAGGAAGTAGGCCTAAGTACATAGAATATTAATATATAATGAGATAAAACAGGGAATCAGTTATCGCACAGAAATTCCACAAATTCAGTAATTAGACCCATCTTCATGTCCATCCCAGCAAAGACTGTTATAACAAGAAAACATTAATTAAAAGACACGGATGCTTTGTTCCCCTCAACAATACTTTATTACAAAAGTTTAACAAACAATATCAAAGATTCGCTTGAAGAATGTCAGATAGTAGGCCTACGAGTGGTAAACATTGAGACATACATGTATCTACCCGGGTATTTTTTTTATGTGCTTTCGAGTTTCGACCATAACACTGCGTAACTTTATATTTAAAAAAACACGTTTGTGATTAAGAAACGTGGGACAAATACAGTATAAGTCCCTCAATTTAAACTGTTTTTGTTCTGCCAAATTCATGATGCATTTTGTTTAATGTGTAGACTTTTACGAATATGTACCTGCTGGAAACTGTCGTATACAGTGTTTGCCAGCACACCTTTTATAAATCCTGCACCAAATATCCTTAATTTTTTTTTTTAATGATTACAAGCTGTATCATGATCAGGGGCGTCAATCCTGGGGGGGGGGGGACGGGGGACACGCCCCCCCCCCACACGAATGTTCAGGTGGTGAAATGTCCCCCCATGTTTTGTGAGAAAAGAAGTTCTTTAATAATTTAATGAAACGTCAAAGCTTCCGCGCTTCGCGCGGGAGGGGGGGGGGGGGGGGGGGGGGGGGGGGAAGGGGGGAACTGAATTCAAACAAGGATTAAGAGTCGAGAAAGTACATGCCGTGAAACAGAATAACTAGAGAGAGAGTGTGTGTGTAGCAACATAACATGGTATAATTTTGAAAGTAACTGTAAAGGTGACATGTAATTGTGTCCCCCCCCCCCCATGCTCAAACTCTGATTGGCGCCCTTGATCATGAGGGGTCTATTCGCTATTCATAAGGTCCGCTATTCATAAGGACCGCTATTCATACCTTGAGATGAGGGTCGCTATTCATAATTCATATTAAGGGTCATTAATCACAAGGACCGCTATTCATAATATGAAATCAGGGTCGCTATTCATAATAGGAGAAGAGGGTCGCTATTCATAATAGGAGAAGAGGGTCGCTATTCATAATAGGAGAAGAGGGTTGCTATTCATAATAGGAGAAGAGGGTCGCTATTCATATTAGGAGAAGAGGGTCGCTATTCATAATACGAAATGAGGGTCGCTATTCATAATAGGAGAAGAGGGTCGCTATTGATAATAGGGGAAGATGGTCGCTATTCATAATAGGAGAAGAGGGTCGCTCCCTGATGACATCCCTGCAGTATTTCCGTGGTACAAGTACATATTACTGACAATTCTCGTCCAATTAGTTCATAGATGGCGTAAACTATTTGTGTTTCACGGGGGGGGGGGGGGGTGCGGTTGGGGTATAGCAGTGTTGCCACCAAGGGTTGATCTATCATGTCCCTTACCTTCAGCAAAGGATGGAAGCGACAAAAACGGGGGTTATAGGCAGGGGCGTCGCTAGACCTTTTTCAGTTTGAGGTGGGGGGGGGGGGGGGGGGGTGAAGAGGCCACCGAATACCGACAAAAATACCTACCAATTATATATTAACATATATATATGTTAATGCCAATGTCCCAATGTCTACAAATTTAACCCTATAAATCCGGGGCCAGGAGCTTAATTATTTTCAACCCCCCCCCCTTCCCGTGCGAAGCGCGGAAGCTTTGACGTTCCATTAAAATATTAGAGAAAGAAGACGATTCGTTGTACCGTTCACTACTCTTAATCCGCGTCTGAATTCATTTTTCCCCGTATAAGTGCCCTTCAAAGCTTATTTTGATCCCTCCCCTGTTGTTTTCTAGAACTTCCATGATGACCTAGTACATTGTATAATGCTTTACTTGCAGATGGTTTACCTAGTAAGATGCATGTGCTTGATTGCATTGAGGTCATTTGAGGTCTTACATATTGATGAGCTGTTTGAAATTAACTAGAAGGTATGCGCGTATTGGGGAATGTGGCTCGCTGCTCTACTTTATTTTAAAAACTTCCCACGACATGTAATGAGTGTTTAGTGTACTTTTTTTTTTATATGGGACGTACAGTGATAGATGGAAAGTTATTTCAGTATATTCGAAATGACTTTTAGGTAACTCCTTTTTTCTCCCACATCATCATCAACATTCATTCATTTCATTTCATCTACATTAGTTCATGAAATGCATTCAGAAAATGAAGAAAATAAGAAACAAAAATAACCCGTTAAAGCGCGGAAGCTTTAACGTTTCATTAAAATATTAGACAAAGAAGACGATTCGGACGATTCGGGCGACTCTTAATCATTGTCTGAACTCTCAAAAATGTTTCTTTATCCGATAAAAAGTCACACTTCGTAGGGGAAAAAAATCTCACCGACTTCAAACTTCTACATAAATATAGTATACGAAGATCGAGCAAGAATACCGACACAGCGAACCCGACACAGCAACAAAATTATCTATGCGTATCTTTCTTGGTCCCTCGACGTGGCGACTCCACCAAACATACCCCTCTCTCTCTTTCTCTTTAATCCCCTTTTTCTTTTGCTCCTTTTCTTTGCTCCCTTTCTTTCTTTTTTCTTCTTTTCCTTTTCTTTTCTTTTCTTTCCCTTTCCCTCTCCTTTTCCCCCTCCCCCTTTTCTCATTTTCCCGACAGCAGCGCAATTTTACCGATAATATCTTGACAGGTGGGGTTGTCGCACCCCACACCCCCCCTTAGCGACGCCCCTAGTTGTAGAGAGTTAGATTATATACAATATTCAAGCTTTTCGTAAATATATAATATTGCACGATTTTTTTTCTCCTCATAAGTAAGGAAGTAAGATTTTCAAGATTTAAAGTCAAATAAGGTACGATTTTGCGACCGTAAAGCATTATGCAAACGGTGGCGTCCCCTTTATTATGTCTTTTTTTTAAAGTAGGCCTATATTTTCTTTTAAGCTTTGATAATTATATACAAATACACCCCCCTAATCTAGCTAAAATATTTCCCCCGCTCCAGTGGTGACAAAAAAGGGAAACATAACACACACATAATCCTATCGTAATTTGTCCCCCTTGTGCAAACCCCTCCCCTCAACTGATAGTCAAACTTAAGAAAATTTACTTTGGTGACAAGACCATATATATTATAAGGAAACCACCTCAGTCCCCCCCCCCCCCCCGAAAATAAATATTAAGGTCCGCTACCTGAATGTCCGAGTCGTCATCATAAAGACGAAGGCGGCGGGTGTTGGAGGGGGGGGTGAGCTTGAGGATATTTCATGATTCAAATGTTATTGATTCAAATTCTCAATTATGTTTATAACATTAGATAACAAATTTCAAACCTACTTAAAAACAAGACAAATATTCAGGGCCATGTGTCGTCTTGGGGGTGTCCTCCGTCCAATATTTCCATTTGTTATGAGCATTTGTACTATGAATAGCGACCCTCTCCTCCTATTATGAATAGCGACCCTTATGAATAACGACCCCGATTTTGCATTATGAATAGCGACCCTCTTCTCGTATTATGAATACCGACCCTCTTCTCTGATTATGAATAGCGGTCCTTATGAATAATGAACCTTATGAATAGTGACCCTTTTCTCCAATTATGAAAAGCGGTCCTTATGAATAGCGGTCCTTATGAATAACGGACCTTATGAATAG